AATAAAGCAGTAATTTTTATTTCGTTAAAAATGGGCCAAAAGAGACCTCCGAACTAGTAGGCTACCAGAAAGGGGAAAAAAAACCTTAACGTTTTTGCTCAGCATTCGTTTTTAAATCCCTGCATAATTTTAGTCATACATGATAAATATCAAATATGTTATAGCTTGACTACAAGTTTAAAAACAACGCTGCAATTATTAAAATTAAGGAAATTAAACTTGCCATCATGAAATGTCTACACAGGCGATAATGCCAAAAAGAAAGAGAAACATCGGAAAATAGGCATATTTTATTCAAGGCATTATTATATGACATCAACATGCATTTATCATTCTCACAATCACCGCCAGAATGTCCAACTTCACCATGATGAACTTAGGTTCTATTATTTTTCCTCAACAGTTCTCCTCACAAAACGAAATTCATTTCAAACACATTTGATAAGAACAGAGTGGAAATTATTAGCAACACGAAAATAACAGCAAAGCTAATGTTTTCTGTTAGTTTAAGCACAAGCTAAGAAAAGTAAAACCAAACTTTGTGGCAATAATTAAGACCAAACTGAACATGGTGTGTGTTTATGGTGCATGTCGGCAATGTTGTCTCTGCGGGGGCGGGGCGTGGTGGAGGTGGGGCTTAGGTAGACTATATTATCGGATATCGCGATATTTTTAAAGGTGATTATCGATAAGATATTTTTGACATAGCCCTATTGTACACCTAAATTGCCAATGTATGTTTGTAAAGTAGTTCTAATTTATGTAGATTAGGATGATGTGTGGGGTGTTCACAAGTGGTGTTGGTGGCACTTGGAAAAAAATGGCACAGGTTATGTGCAGAATTACTCATATTGTGTGTTTTTAAATGCAGCTGAGAATTCCGTGAGGCTCTTTTCATTAACAGTGATCAATATTTTTCTTCTTTTAGACCAGCTAAGGCCCTTTCTTGATGATTCAGCAAGCAGCTTTGTTGAGCGTCTGTTTGAAGCCCTTGAGGAAAGCAAAAACAGGCGTGGCAATAAAGGAGCTGGAGAGAAGAACCGCAAAAGAGAGCTTAAGGTATAGAGTTTTTTGTGCTGCCTAAATTTACAGTTTCTGAAGGGCTTTTCACATTTGAACTAGTTATTGTGGGATCTTGTTTCTCGTTTCACACTGCTTTACCTGGGGGTAACAGTTAATTCTGGGTATTCTTAAGCTGACGTTTCACAGTTAGGGGTGTACACAAGTAGTTGAATATTTGTTATGTAATTATTATTCAAAAAATAAAAATACTATTAGAATTTTACTACGTTTTGCTTTGCTGGCCGTAAATGCAGGGATCCATGATAAATCCTAAGCGCGCAAACTAAAAGTCAGTTATAACTAAATTCACTGGGTGGTGCTGTGGAGCGTGGTAACAAATTGATTGTATTTGATCGCAGAATGTTGTTGTCTGCCTTTCGAAGTTTGGAATTACTTTGATTAGTGTTGTCACCGTACCAAAATTTCAGTATTCGGTACCAATGCCAGTGAAAATCCACGGTTCTCAGTACCAATTTCGGTACCAAAGCAAAACACAAAAACATGCTAATTGAACAACATTATTTTTTATTAATAACGTTAAACAAAAATTAAATGTACAAAACCAATGCCATTCTTCATACTTATTTAAAGGGGTCATATGATGTTGCTAAAAAGAACATTATTTTGTGTATTTGGATTTAAGGTTAAAAAAACACATTATTTTCCTGATACTGTACATTATTGTTTCTCCTCTATGCCCCGCCTTTCTGAAACGTGTCGATTTTTACAAAGCTCATCGGTCGGACAAAAGTTTTTGTCATATTTCTGCTGCCACTGAAAAACAACTGCAAACTGTTGTCTGTTTTAGGGTTTGCTGGTGTGTTTCATAATCTTCCTCAGTCTGCAGCTGTAAAAGGAAAATATAATATACTTGAGTAAAGCAATGGGCTGAGTCTGACCAAATGCACATTAGATCATTGACACTAGCTAAAATATAACTTTTCAGTAAATAACAAACCTTAGTTATATCGCAATTATTCTTCTTAGGGTTCATTTCAAAATTTACTAATACATAAATCACAAGTTCAATCTGTTAAATTTATTTAATGCACAATGAACAAACATGAATGATCAAGTGTTTGTATTAAATAACA